GCACGGAAAGAACAATGTAGCTGCTGTAGCTAAAACTTAGCAAAATAGGGACAGCTAATAATATTTTAGTTGTGATAGCTCAATATTTTGCTACTGTGCAAACGGTTTGCTGTCGCACCCAATACAATAGGCACAGTAGCAAAATATTGAGCTATCACAACTAAAATATTAGCTGTCCCTATTTTGCTAAGTTTTAGCTACAGCAGCTACATTGTTCTTTCCGTGTGTTTACAGCAGCATAGCCAAGTTAACCGTGGACTTTTTAACGTCAGTATAGAATTCATTTCATCCCTTTTTCTACATACAATTCTACGGAGACTTTTGAAAAGATATTTGTACTTGTAACAAATTAGAATTTTAGACGCGTAAATTTGATAAAACTGTGCAGGGAGAATCGACGTTTAAAGCCATCGCTACTGTGAATTTCGCGGTCGAATCGCTGGGATAAGCGCGATTCTTATCTTACCTAATGGGAAATGATGCGATAGGAAGCAAAAAGCGGTAGCGGTGGCCGAGAATAGAGCAGATTCCAGTTCGAGTTTCTTGAACGTTCAACTTCTCTCTCTTTCTTCCACGGAGAAAAAGAACCTCGGCATTTCCTCGAAGTCTTACGAATTTCCGGCTGTTTGTAGATCCTTGAAATGCGGCTTAATTGATGGCTCGGAGTTAACGTCTATCAATGACAAGACGTATTAATCTCCGATTCTTTGAATAACGGATTGTCCCGAGAAAAAAGTTCTTCAGGTGTCCATTCCTGGAACAGTTTGCACTCCATTTTTCCACGGGTCTCTCTTATTATCTGAGGAACATAATTGCTAATTAACTTTCCGGCCAGGCTTTTAATCAATTTAATTCGTCAACTTGCCAATTTATTAAGTGCATACCAACTTAATAACGTTCAAATTATAACAAAGCGTGCAATTTGCGCCGTAATAGACCTTGAAACATTTTCCTCCGGTATATAAAAACGATACGATCTTACAACACAGAAGTGATTCGCGTGCAGATGATTAAAGTACCCGTTTGTTTCGACAGACAATAATTTCTCGTGACGCCGGAACGCGTTTAATGGAAGCACGAGTAGGCTCGTCAATGAAAACGTCTGCCCCCCGTGGATTTCGGTGACGCGGACGATGCCAGCTGATGATGCTCGCAACGCATCGCCGCTCGCGATGAGTGCTCTCGTACCAGAAAAGAAAGGAAAAAAAAAATATACAAGGGCTGAGGCGAGGTCTACGAGGGCCACATGGCTCGGGAGGGGGAAGTCGTTTTCACATGCGAAAGTTTACAGTTCCAATTGCACCGGCGAATGATTGTTTTACTTGGAGTTTGTTGTTTCTAAGAATAGCTAGCAAACGCGGCATCGGCGTTGGATCATCTCTTTGAAAAAGGATGTAACGGCAGCCTCAGGATGTACCGGGAATGCCCATTGTCCAGACCGCATTGTCTCGCGATTGTTTATACGTAAATGGCCCTGCTGACGTCATCGAGATACGATCGCCGAGTAAATTGCAGGCTGCGGATTGATGCGCTTTTGTTTTGCAGAATATTTTTAAATTTTCCGCCCACCTTGCCTCGCTCCTCTTCTCGCGTTCCCAAATTTTACGTCTCTCGCGGCGAAGCGGTTGACTGAAGCACGGTTAACCGTTAACGGTTGAATAATAATCCAGTTTCAGCCCACCGCAAACTGGTTTATTCAAATTCGAGCCGCGGCCGGTTGACGGCCGATCCAGAATAAGACTCACGCGATCGGGAGGCTGTTTAATAAAGATTCCCGTCAATTAAGTGCGGATTTGAATCCGAGTGTAAACCGGTTTAAACCACTCCTCGGCGGAGTTGATATTCGGTTATGTCGCATTAAAATGCTTTTACGGTATAAAAATCGACCGTCAACATTGTTAAACGATGTCATTTTTTTTACAGCCGGCGAAACTCAAGTTGACGAAGCGGTACGAGAGACAATGTAAGAAATTGTCGCTGATCGAGGATACTTGGCGTTAACGGCGCATTAGACGTCCGTTTCGTTTCAAGAACTTATCGGGCTCCAGGTTTAAGAGCATATTGTATTCCGAGATGAAATTCCCACTTGCCGAACGTCTCCCTGAAACCGATCGAGATTAATGCGCGCAATTCTAACAAGAAGTGGAGGACATAAGACGTTCTTCCCCTCTATTAAACAATGATTCGAAAATCGTCGCTATCTGAAAAGTCGCGGATGCGACTCGTAATATATTCAAGTAACACGACGGCGAGATTCGACGATTAGCATATTTTGTCGCCGGTCGTAATCGGCAATCGTAAGAATATCTCGGGAAAGTTATTCCGTCAACGAGCTAATCTTTCAATTTTCGACATTTGTCCTTGTCTTCTTTTTCCTTCTGATCTGGGCATTGGGGAGCTTTCTGATCGGAATTATTCCGTTTTCCCTGGACAATAGAAATCTAGGAGATAACTAAATTCCGAAATCGCTCAATCCATTCCGAACAGTTCCGGAATACGTGCTCTGGGATTAAAATGAACCGATTGACATTATAAAAAAAAAAGGAGCGACGTCGAGAAATCGTACTCTGGTACACTTTGGTGCATGATCCGAACTCACTTTATCACTTTTGGTACCAAAAACAGTGGCGAAAAATCGCATAATGAAAAGACGTCGTTCACGCCGCGAAGGCAAACAGTTCGATCTCGCGCACGATCCGGGGACCATTTGCCCCCGTGCCGTTTGCTTAGCTGCTGATAATTAAGACACGCTCGCCGGGCATTCATACGCAAACAATCGGCGCGGTCGGAGGACGTCGCGTTGACGCTCGCGTCAACTCCGCGACGACTCCTCGCGAATTAAATTGAGATGTCACGGCCCGTCGAATTAATTAGCCACGCTCGCGCGTAATCGCCGATCGACGCACACGTGGAGTATCGGCGCGGCGTGTTGTCGTCAGTCGACCTCGCGCCTCGAACGACGATGCAATTCGTACCGAATCACGTGAGTGGCGCGCATCGCTAGACGTGTACGAAATAAATTTACTGGGAACGTATGTGCCATGTATATGCAAATACATAATACATATTATGTAGAACAGTAATTTTTTAATTATAATAAAATATACACAGGTATTTTTTATTACATTTTAGTATTAAAATACTCTTCAATGTCGCCCCGGTAGTGATTAACGACGTCAGGTAATATTTTTCGCAATAAAGTTTCTGTATCATTGAAAATGCCATGTATGGTCGAGAAAAACACTGACGTTGATAATAGATTTTGTTATAAATTAATAAATTATTGTTATATACAATATAGTATTATGTCAGAGATAATAAATAAAAGGCATTAAGCGGTTGACCGGTGTGAAGATAAAAAATTGCGTTAATTTATCCCAGGTCACAACGACAATAATTTTATCGTTATCTAAACTCGAGAGCCTCTAGAAATATAGAAAGAGCTACGTCTCCTATTATGAGTTACGATCCTAGTATGGGATAGCGGGGGCTTCCGTTAAAATTGATAGGCATCATCGGTTGATTCCATCATGAATTTATTGCCCTCGGAGCGAAATCTGTTTAGTAGAAAATTCATTGTTAGATTGTGTAATCGTTGACAGAAAAGATTTGTGATTAAATTTGGACGTTCAAAATCTGCTATCTCATATTAAAAACCAATCTCATAATAGAGGACTTTCCTCTAACGATTACAGACTGTATTATCTCCTTCGGGGTTTTTAATTTATTTTCTTTTTATAGCTTTAAGAACAAAGACATTTGTCACAAGGTCCGCTGAGAATAATTGGTATAATTCGGGATTACAGTGACGCGCTCCGTGTTTGTGCATCGAGTGCATACGGCGTAGATCCTTGTACCGCGATTAAGGACGACGGTATTACCGGCTTCGTAATCGCCACCGGTGACAATGATTCGATAGGAGTCTCGCTGCCGGAAAGCGCTGTCACACGTATCCGCGTGGGAACGAGGCGACGTGTCACGGATACGGAAAACGACCAAGCGCGGTTTGTTCGGTAATTAGACGAACACGCGTATTAAACCCACCAGGGACCAGAGATAATCGTTACGGGGCAAGGGTAATTTCCTAATTGGCACACCCACGTGCTTCTCGCTTAATTGTCGCAAGGTGGGCAAGGTCGACAAAAGGTCTCCACTTTGTGTCTGTTAACCCCTGGGGAAGATCGTTCGTCTTGGACTTCTTAGAAAAAAAATTGCTCTTTCTCAGGAAGAAATCAATCTCGTAAAGTACCTTTGCAGGCTGCTGGTCGTAACATTAGCCTAGTTTACATCGTGCACTTGATACGCGTATCAAATAGTAACAAATAATAGATAACTAGTAAATGAATTTAGCGATTGGCTGGTCAGTTCAAATACACTATTTGATACGCGTATCAAGTGCACGATGTAAACAAGGCCACTAATTCTGTGGCGCTCGAGTATTAATTTCCGGCAACAGTCAATTTTTATGAACGCGTGGATAGAAATGAATATTAATCCTGGGCTTTAATTGCGCGATTCGCGCATGCACTATTTCAAGAAACTTGATCTCAAGATCGAGCTCGTCTTGCAGCTAAAACTGGCGCTTTGTTTTGTCAGAAATACTTGATCCATTATTAGCATCACTGAAATCTCCACTCTTTTAATATTTTTCATGCTGAGATATTTCGCTGGATTTTCAGTATGGACGCGACTAATATAGACACAGGCATTTCGCACAAGTGTATTTGATTAAGCCTTATCAAACGTTATGTCAAGTCGAATGAACTGCATGCTTCAATTTTTAGCAGATGCGACATTCTATTTTTGCTTTTTAACCATCACAATTATACGGTATCGAATCAACATATTGATTTAAAGTGTTATCCAGCACCGTTAAAATATGTTTTATAATTAACAGGCAGAGACTTTTTGTACAATATGTGTAATAAACTTCTCTAAAAATGAGAGGACAAATATAACACTCGCATTACGATTGTCGACAGGTGACCGCGTCGGATGTTATCGGGCGACCGCCTTGGCGAATCGATAAATTCCCGAAGAGGAAACCGGAGAGAAATTAGATTGCCGTTTGATCGTCCATTGTACACGCGGCCGCTCGATCCTCGAGCTACCGAACCAGCGCGATTTCCAACGCGAGCCACTGTGCAGAAGGAAAGGCTTCCGAGAAGAAAAGAGAACCAGCGGAGACATGGCGCACGAAAACGGGATAAGCGGCGGCGATACCGACTCGGAGACCGTGGAACTGAATTCTCTGAGGAGAACCAGATTCCACGTGAATCGGGTCGACAGTCTTGAAGGTCGGGCCAGTCTCCTGGGCGAGCAAGAGACCAAGAAGTCGTCCCTCAGATACATGACCAGGGAGGCCCTGCCCAGGCTAGACAATTACAGGAACATCATGAGCATCCAGGCCGCCCATCGACCCTCCTTGGACGAGTTACACAATCCCACTCTTCTCAACAAGGTGAGGCCTTAATAACTTCTTCGAAGGCAGCAACGTCGTTACCGCGCACACCCTTTCATCACTGGTAAAAATCATTTGTGGCGCTCGACAAGCTCGGCACGGTATGCGGGATCTCTTTACGAAATTAATGTGCCGCACATTTCTTCGCCATGCAGTTTCGCGATAGATTAAGTTTATCTACGCCAAGAAAATAAACATTTGCGAGTGTCGCACACGTCGCGGTATAAAATGATTACGGTGCGTCTAGAATTTATTTCACGAGACTCTCTATACGATGACGACAGAGCAAAGATTGCGAGAAATGTTAATATTCCACGCGATTACAATAATGAAGCGTAATGCGCGGGACATTGGCGATAAGCCCAAACTCAGTAACGATAACGAATGACACATCGTGAGGAAAGTTCGCGTATTGCGTGCTGTGTTTACGATTGTTCGTTCATTAATACGGGATAAAATTGGCATTTCTTTTCGCGATAAGAATCCGCCAGGTCGACAGAGACGGACGAGTGCCGAGTTGCATAATAAGCTTCTCGGGAGGATAGAGTTCGGCCGCGAGAAAGCCTCTCGTAGGAAAGCCTTAAAGTCGTGATGCCGGACGGTAAAAGGCAGATTGCACGTACACATATGCGTAAGATAAATGCAAATCTATCGGTGCACACCGCCGGCGAATCCTTGAAGATAACACACGCGTTCTCGCCTGGCGTCACTCTGACATTCACCCGCTTCTCAATTTTTTACTCGTTATCTACGGCTCCGTTCTCTCTCTTTCTCTCGCGTAGAATGAATATCTAAAATTAAACGGTAATCTTACATGCGGGCTGCGTAATGTGGTAGTATAATCTGCCGCGGTATGATTGTAGCCCCGCACGTTTCTATATACACGTGCTCCAGAAGGTAGCTCAAAGAAGAAGCGTATGCCGGCAGCATAATTGGATTTCCTGTGTAATCGACGCAACTAAAATTTGATCTTTGCCTCGTTAAGTTATTTAAATTTTTCTAGAAGAGATCAAGCTGCAATTGTTCAAGTCGTTCGCAAAATCATGAGCCACGGAGAATTAATTTAAAAAAAAGGAAAAATTCTGGAAACATGAAATTAATTTTGGAAAAATATTAAGTACTTAACGGTATAATTTATATATACGTGTCTTTTTTACGTTGTATTTTAAGCTCGTAAAATATAAGAAAAGTACTTTTAAAGATTTTAATCGCGGAATAGTCACGCGAGTTTATATTAAATTAATTTGTTTTCAATACATTTCGGTCGGAAAGTGACGTTTTTCGAGAAATAAATATTTACGTATGTTGTTCACGATTAAAATCTGTGTAAAGAGAAATTTCGCTTTGTTCGCTATCTGACGATACTACTAATGTAATTTTTCTAGGATCGCACCACGTATGGCGAATAATGCGTAATAACGCGTACAGCGTAACACGATAGCGCAGCACGTGCGTGCCCCTTTGTTTTGCCAGCGTAGTCGACACGCGGTATTAATTACGCTCGCTCGAACGATTCGTAAATCATCGCGCAATTGCAGAGATTAGTTAATTGTGCAATTAACCCGTCGTTGAGCGAGAGCGTGGCGCCGAGATTCCGTCTCGTGATTCTCCCCCGACGAAAGCCGCGGCGGAAAAGTTCCTCGGCTTACTTATCTCTCCGTTCGAGCGAGAATAGAAAACGCGATACCGCCAGTGTAAATATGGAACGTACAGCTGAATTTGTATTACCTTACGTGACGATTCGTCGACGACGGCACGACTTTACGATGCCACGGGGCACCGTTATCAAGCTGCGTAATACTGGTGCAACGCGTCGTCAAATATTTGCAATGACTACTTTCGTGCACGTAATTTGTATTTTCAGGAGTATCGTCCCGGGTAAACGTCACGCAGACGTTGCACTAATTGCCGTTGCGATTACCAAAGTACAATTACCGAATTCAAACAAGTCTAGTCTCTAATTTAATATCAATTACATTTCTTGCCTTCCTTGTCATTTATTATTGGACTAGATATTTTTCTTATAAGCATTAAACGTACACGGAACAAAATTATGTATTATAACAAGATCAGTGTAATTGAAATAAAATTGTTGAGACAACTACAGTATTAGTGAATAAAAAACATCAGATAGTTGTCTTAATAATCTGAATATTTAGTTCAACGAACGTGGCAGCCCGTGACGTTAACGTTTAATTCAAGCAACTTTATTATTTTAATTCAACAGCATTTTTTCCGTGTAGGAATTTTATAAATATATATTTATGAAATTATTAATTTGTCAAAATTTATATTTCCGTTACTCAATAACTTATTAATATTTTTTTCGTGTAACTTGGATGAGAAAGGTCTTGTCCTAATTCTGAATGTGTCATCACTGATGTAGCAATAATTGCAATCACACGTGCATTGCATTTTTAAGTGAATTAACGCGAGTAGAAAAGATGACTCACAATCAGTGAATTCACTACGCGCAATCGTTCTTTTTCAACTATGAATCAGTCCGTTACGCCCAAAAACGTTATCCATGCGTGAAGCGTATTGCCAATTGTCCTTGTGATACTTCAGATACGAACGTACGGTTGGGTTGTTTGGTAATGCTCGATTTCCGCCGGGCAATGCCCGTAAGAATTTTTATCTGCTCAGCAATTAAAATTCTTGCAAGGCAAAAATAATGCAGACTTCTATCTATCCGGCGTTTAGACGCGATGAATAATACTTGCACGGTTGCGAAAAATGACACGGCTGCGTGTTATTTTTAAAATACCGAAAAGAAACTACACTTCCATCATTCAAAATACTTAACGTTCTCGCAATTAGTAAAAAAAATATACCGGTTGCTTGTCACAAGTTCAATCAAACAGGACGACGAACGTAAGGGACTTCTTTACCGCCAATATTTTGTAGATTGCACAAAGGCTATTTAGATAGTTGATACGAGAGGAGACTCGCGACTAAAGAGAAAGGGGATAAAACTACACGGTTGACCGCTTGCGTGAAGGAATGACATGAATTGCATACTGGGTCACGGAGAATTAGTATATATGTATTTAAACAAATTTAAAAAAAGCCTCACGTAGATCACGACTCGTACTCTGCATGGCGGATATCGGCGGAACGTCTTGTGCCAATAAAGAAACCAATCGGAAAACATTCACACGCGCAAGCTCTAAACTGTTACGAAATGTACTTTGAAATCTATCGAAGAGACCAAAATATATTTAATCAATGAAGAATGCGTTCTAATATAACGAAAATATCGACAGATATAAAAATATTTCGCAAGTGTAGTCAGAGCGTGAATAATAATTGCACGGAGAGAATTTTCTTGTAAAATTAATCTTGAAAATTGTATGATAGTGGGACAACGTGGCATTTTGAAGGACTGTATGAGAAGTTTTGAAAATTTTACTATGCATTTTATTAGTATTTATACTTAATATAGAGTTTGCTAGTAAAATGTATGATAAAATCCAGGGTTAACCAGTGTCTAGTTAAAAAGATAAAAGTTAAGCTAAAAAGTTAAATAATTTTAACTTAACTTACAATACAGTATAGACTGTAAAAACTTTTATAAAGTTCTTTAAAATGCCATGTTGTTCCATGATCACATGATTTTTAGGATAAATTTTAAGTGGAAATTCCCTCCGCGATGAGATAGAGTATTAGCGTAACTTGCGAAAATAAACGAAAAGATTTCGGATAGCGGATATGCTCGCATACAATGAACATGATAAATAAAATAACACGTACATACTACAGCACGTCGTGACGCAATGCGAGAAGTATATACAAAATGTCGAGTTCAACGTGTTAAGTTGAATTATCTATGCAACAGATGTTGCGCCGTTAGTCACGTTTCATTAATGCGAGCGAAGAAGTTTTTCAGACGTGGATTACAGTACACGGTGCGTATGAAATCATCATGCGACTCGCCGCGGTGCACAACATGCCGGGTCAAAAAGAGGACCCGTCACGTTCGCTCGGGCAATTAAAGTCCGTCGTTCGAGATGATGACAAATATGACCAGGACAGTCTCATCAGCTCTCACTATATGCTAAGACGACGTTTAATTCCCGCCTGAGGAATCAATCTCCCTAAAAGATCCAGAAATGTGACACTTGGAGAGGATCAAATGGACCCATTTATCGTGCGTCACGTCGATCGGCATCGCGATAATTTGATAAACGAATTTATGTCACGAGTTCTCGCTATAACTGGACCGTTGATAATTGAGCGACATTTCTCTCACATGTCTTGTCATGTGACGCACTTTTTCGGGTCAGGCTGATGTTAATTGGCTGTAATTAGCGGTTTTCTACTTTTAAAGCGTAGCTCTAGATACAAATAAGAGAAGTTGATTACCTACAGTAGCGTGTTTAAAGGCCATTGTTATATTGGGCTCAATTGCGTTTGAAAAGGTGGCGAGACGAAATTAACACAGATCCACAGTAAAGGAATATCTTTGCAAAACATAGAGGAATCCTCTATTATGAGACGGGCTTTCAATATGAGATAGTGGAGTTTCTGTTAAATTAATAGGCATCATCTGTTGGTTCCGTCGTGAATTTATTGTCCTTGGAGTGAAATCTGTTTAGTAGAAAATTGACTATTAGATCGTGTAATCGTTGCGAAAAAAGATTTGTGATTGAATTTGAACGTTAAAAACCTATTATCTCGCATTAGAATTCTGTCTCATAATAGAGGACTTTCCTCTCTACATGTAGATACATTATACGTTCTCATAAAGGACGTGACGTCTTGATAAAAGTCTGATGTAAATCAGAACCAAATGGATCTGTATCCATATCCCACAGAATGCGGGATACAAATAGCTTTATTCGTCCTTATCGTTTAAAGCTATTTATACGCGAGATTGATTCTTAACACGCTACTATATCAATGAATAGCGTGAGCTGTTATGTTGACTTCGCATATTGTAAGAGAAAAATTTCAACTTAATTCCGCGTTTGCCATTAAACAGTTTCCGGAATTGCGATTAATTACTACTAAATGAGTAAAGTACAAAAAGATTCAGTGACTACATTTCGCGATTGCAATTGACAGATCGGCTGTTGATCAAAATTATGGTACATCTATCATGCAAGGAGACAGGATTTCAATTCAAATCATTAAAAGTATTTTTCTTCTATTTTACGGGCTTGAAATGTGCAACGTAAAGAAGATATCGATATAAAAATTATCCTGTCAGGTATTTTCTATTTTCCCATAATTAATTCTCTGTGGTTCATTTTGCGAACGACTTGAATGATTGAATCGTTTACATTTGTGGCTCGATGTGGAAGTGTCAATGGACACAGCAAAAAGCGTACTCTGAATAAATCACGAGCCTCTGACAGATAAGCGTGTCGTAGTGGAAGATACGAACGTACACGAGGAGTATCTGAAAGGAGTTTTATCCATATAGAAGGTCTTTATTCTTCCTCCTTGTGTGCGTATGATGCGTACCATTGTACATACGTAAATGCTTCATTGAAAAGTTTTGTAGTTTCCGATTAAGTGTACTGTAAAAGATTTCAAGAATAAGTAACTAAATTTACAAAAGAGATTCAAAGAAATTTTCAAGAAACCACGATAGGTATTAAACGATTGCGGTAATTCATGTAATGAAATGCGGAAGTTCGACTTAATTTATTTAACAAAAAAGTTCTTTGTTATCGCTGATTTGTAAAAGTTTGTCTATTTTTAAAAACAGTGTCATATATTTTTACAAATTTTTACGATAGAAATAAAAAAGATAAAATTTTGATACATAATATATGTTCGAATAAAAGAAAGGACCGATTCTATAATCTTTTACTATATTAAAAGAATTAAGAAATTCGATGAACTAAAATGCAGAAAGCGAAGCAGAGAGATAAAATTGCGAAGTTGATTTTATAGAAATGTGCAAGAATAATTGTACATACACATATTTTACATATCAGATTTCAATGCAAGATTCGAGGATGTAATGGAAAATCACGGAACGGATTAATCGTCTGAGATAGAGAGAGCTCTAAGCCTTTAAGAGAACAAGTTGCAATCCAATCAAAATCGAATTGGCAACAATTGATCCAGTTCTCGTTATTAATCATTCATTTGATGATGTAAATTATTATACGCAAACGATTCTCTGCAGCGCAACCATTGTTTGCGCTGACGCTCTTAAAGTTTCAATTTGAATTACTCATTTGTTTTCGCAGCTTCCGCAAATGTTTCAGCAAAGCTCGCTCCGGAAATCGTTAATCATCGATAACGATTGTCGTTTAAACGTACGTCATAACACAATGTTTTCCAAGAAGAGCGAGACTCTACAAAATGTTTTTCAGACACGATGTCTCAGGGAAATTTCCAACTTCTTTCTAACTGAACAATCCCACGTGCAATTCGCGAAAAGTTCCGCGGCATCAGATATCGCTGTACCGTTGCGGACATGAGGCTGGTTACACGAGGCTCAGTTACGTAAATCGTTCAGACTTCATTGGCCGAGTGACGGACCCTTCCTCGAGACCGGAGTCACCTTCAATGCCTTCGATAATCGCCTCTGAATCTCAATTTACGCGCTAATCCGCTCGCTGCTAAGACGTGAAATCGTCGCCTCGACATACGCGAGAAATCATACGGATTCATTTAGAGAGCTGACGTTGAAGCTTCTGAGTATGTCGATTATTCCATCGAACTGATGAAGACATTATCTCGACACGGAGCATAATTTCTTGCATAATTACGAGCTCGTCGCATCATTTATAGGCGCGATTATGCGATACGCGATGTGCATGGAAAAGCAGTCGACTCTGATGGCACTTGAAATTGCAACGCTTTCGCAAAGCTCTTTTTGCGGAAACTTTGTTTTCTTTATCTCTTAGCTTTTGGCTATCTTGATCTCGCACAGTCACATGTTCTCACGATGTGCATATACGGCAATCTACAGAGAATTCCTGCTGACGATGCAGTGGAATAGAGTAGAACAATAGATAGCGGAAAAATAAAGAACAATGCAATGGAGTAGAGAAGAGAATAAAATGTAATTATTGCAGATGCGGCATAAAAATGCTATAAACTTTACTAATATTCGTGAAATTCAACGGGAATTACAAGCAAATATTAAATTAAAATCGGATAAGGATTAAATAAAAATCTGATCAAGATTAAATTTAAATAAAATTGGAACAACCATTGAAGTAAAATTAAATTAAAATTAAATATGAGACAGCTACTGATAGTTGAAAATTAAAATCATACGAAACTTATCATTTCTTGTAATTTATAAGTACCAACCTTTCTCAACGTTTAATTTTGTGAGTCTCTGTACTCTATTCCTGGAATAAGATTGGTTCTCGAACGTCTTTGAAGTTTATTGAACGATTTGTTTGCAGGGCCCGGGCTCGCATACGTTGACTGTTCCGCATCTAAAATCCATGGCGCTACGAGTGAAATTCGGATGGATTCAAGGAGTGTTGATGCGATGTCTCCTCAACATCTGGGGGGTGATGCTTTTTCTGCGACTCTCCTGGGTCGTAGCGCAGACCGGAGTTGGTGAGTGTCCTATCGTCGAATCATCCTTTCGACTCATTGGGCTCCTAAAATTTCAACATCGTCAATTTGCTGTTCCAGGTCAGGCCATTTTGTTGATTCTCACAACAACAGTAGTCACTACAATTACATCCTTGTCGATGTCGGCAATCAGTACCAATGGTCTTATCAAAGGAGGTATGCGCTAAAAAAGAAGTATAAATATCTACAATATCGATAATGAAAGAAGAAATTTGAGAATTATGTGAACTAAAATTACACAGAAAATATATTTTAGAAATTGTTTGTATGTTTAATTCAGAATTTCACATTTTAAATGAATTCTTTTACTATATTATTTATTGTCAATTAAAGGTAATTAAAACACCGATGCTCGCTATATTATCTTTTTTTTTATCCAACTGACGTTACATATACCAGGCTAATTAATATCTTCGCAATTGTTTGCACATATGCAAAACTGTCTCGACAAATTATTACGTCGACACGGCACGACTTAACCGAAATCATATATTTCTTTTCTTTCCACAGGTGGGACCTATTACATGATTTCCAGGTCATTGGGACCTGAGTTCGGTGGATCCATAGGTCTTATATTTTCCTTGGCAAATGCTGTTGCCTGTTCCATGTATGTAGTTGGCTTTTGCGAGAGCTTGGTGGAGTGTCTCCGCCCTTTCAAGGCCTGCATAGTCGATTGCGCGACCACAGACATCAGGATCATAGGTCTGTAAGCATTCGTGCGACTTTAAAGTAAAGATTAAAACTACTGCAATTTGGTTAATTGATATTTTTGTTTACATAAATATTATGTTTGTGTAAATAAAAATTATTTGCACATTTAAACGCTGCGCTATTGACGTAATTCTCTATATTTATTGTGCCAATAGTTAAACTAACAAGTTTATGTCACTTTTAGTCCTAATTCCAAAATCATGTCGAACGCGACGTGAATTACATTTGCATTGGATTTGCAGGGTGCATAACAATAGTTGTACTATTGATAATCGTTATAATCGGCTTGGAATGGGAGGCAAAGGCCCAAATATTTTTGCTAATAATTCTCCTCGTGGCTATTGCCGATTTCATGATTGGCTCTTTCGTGGGCCCCAAGAGCGAGCTGGAGAGGGCTCAAGGATTCATTGGATACAACGGTAACGTCGCATCAACATTCTTTTTTCTCGTACCTCTGGCATTGCTATCTTACAAATTATCGTAATTAACAGATACGAATGAGTATTAATTTTGTCGTTTATTTGTCATTTTCAGCCGAGTTATTCAAGGAAAATTTATATCCGAATTATAGATACAGCGAAGGCGTCCAGCATAATTTCTTTTCAGTCCTGGCCATCTTTTTTCCAGCAGCAACTGGTATCTTGGCAGGTGCAAATATATCCGGTGACTTAAAGGTGATTTAGTCCTTTCATGTATGTGTGAGAGATATTTATAGTTAATGCTTTGTCTCACGATGTAATTTATTACAATTATTGTCTAATTATCCATCAATTCGATTAAATCTTCTCTACTGATAGATGAATCGTTTCTTCTGCAGATGAGTGATAAAAATTTACATTTTGTTAATCACTGCGATTAATTGATGAAATGATCGAGATTTGATACGATGTCAACGTGGAAGTTTTGTGCCACTTCTAAACCTTATCTTGAATTCGACAGGATCCGCAAAAGGCGATACCGAAAGGCACGCTACTCGCGATTCTGCTGACGTCGTTGTCATACCTAATCATGGCGTTTATGGTCGGCGGTACCGTTATGCGAGACGCGTCCGGCAACGTTACCGATTTATGGACGACGTACAATAGCTCTCTTTTGGCCATGTCAATGGCCGGTGTAGACAACGACACTGCGTTCGAAAACAATACAGTTATCGAGAATGTCACTCACACCTGGAGCATATATGGAACGGATTTTAACTGTACCGCAGGATGCAAGTATGGCAGCCACAACAGCTTCGAGGTGCATAAAATGATTAATATAATTCACAAATAAGATCCTGAAGATATTAATTAAATAAAAATAAGAGTCACTTGCTAAATTGAGATAGAAGCTGAGAACTGTTTAATTTAAACAACTGTTGTAATGAATATCGATTATCAATTATTCAAGAAAGTTAAAAATGTGACACTGTTAACTATTTGTAGGTGATCCAATTAGTTTCTGGTTTTGGACCTATTATCTATGCCGGTTGCTTCGCGGCGACGATTTCAAGTGCCTTAGCATCGCTAGTCTCAGCACCGAAAGTATTTCAAGCGCTCTGCCTCGATAAGCTATATCCGGGAATTGCGTGGTTTAGTGGAGAAAAAGATAAGGAGCCGATTCGTGGTTATTTACTCACTTTTATCATCGCCGTCGCTTTTATTTTGATAGGTGAGTAGTAATTTTGCAGTTATATACATATAACAAAAATTGGTTTTTTCAAGCATACGCACGTATCAATTTCTTTCAGGTGAATTAAACGCAATCGCGCCGCTGATTTCAAACTTCTTCTTGGCTGCTTACACTCTTATCAATTTCAGTACGTTCCATGCTTCCTTGGCTAAACCAATCGGATGGCGACCAACCTTCAAGGTATTTTAGCGCAGAATTGTATATAACTTTTACCACGTTATTATATTTTCACACTTTACTGTAGTAATAATATTGTGTTCTTTGTTTTAGTATTACAATATGTGGCTCAGTCTTGCTGGTGCTATACTTTGTGTTTCTGTGATGTTTCTGATCTCATGGTGGACGGCTCTAATAACATTATGCGTAGTCTTAGCATTGTATTTAGTAGTCTCGTACAGAAAACCTGGTAATTTCATGCAACAGAAATTGATTTTTATTTAAGTGCTGCTCTTTTGACATATTATTCACGAAGATATATTACAGATGTAAATTGGGGTTCAACTACACAAGCCCAGACATACAATAACGCATTGACAGCTGTACAGCAACTGGATCGAGTAGAAGAGCACGTGAAAAATTACAGACCGCAACTCTTGGTTCTTACTGGCACGCCCAACGTGAGATCGTCTCTTGTGGACTTCGCTCATCATATTACTAAACATCAGAGTTTGTTTATCTGTGGCCATATTATCGAGGTACTGTTCGCTTCTTACCGATTTGATTTGCTCATTTGATGGATAATATATCTTGTATTCATACGCTTTAGACACCCATATCGTACAAAACGCGCAACAGCATGGCGCAGAACTGTTCTTCCTGGCTCAGGGCAAATAAAATCAAAGCATTTTACTCGCTGGTGGACAGCTCAAATTTCCAAGAAGGAGCTACTTCGCTCTTGCAAGCCGCTGGACTTGGAAAAATGAGGCCCAATATTCTATTAATGGGTTACAAGCAAGATTGGGCCACCTGTCCCCGTGAGAATCTGAATATGTATTTTAACATCATGCAGTAAGTCCCCGCGTGTCACACTCTAATTAACTTGCCATTTCGTAGAGAGATTAGTTTTGATAATATTTTGTATATCTTGCAGCAAAGCTCTGGATATGCACGTAGCAGTGGCGCTTCTTCGGCTTCAGGAAGGCTTAGATCGTAGTGCGACTGTCGGAGATGTCGAGGATCACAGGAGACTCGCACCTACTTCGATACCGGGCAATCAAAGTTTCTCGCAGCTTAGCCAAGGTTTTACAAAAAAAATTTTCTTGTTCTTTCATGTATATCTAATATATTTTTGTAAATATGTAGTAATAATGATAAATCATTGTTGCAGCTAGTAGTACGTCTGACATATCGATACCTGGTAGTCCCGCGCCGAGACGTTCGAAAACGATTAACGAATATCCCAATCCGTCCTCTGAGGAGCATCGCGAAAATCGACCACATATAGTGCCAATTACGAATCTACTTAATGTAGTAACAAAGTTTCAACTGAAGCATAAAAAGGGTACTATCGATGTATGGTGGCTGTACGACGACGGTGGCTTAACGCTTCTGTTACCTTACATCATCAGCACGAGGCGTAATTGGTCTAACTGCAAATTGAGAGTGTTTGCACTTGCCAATAAGAATTCTGAACTGGAGTACGAGCAAAGAAAGTAGGCATTTTTGATGGACGACCTCTTGAAATAATCGCGCAGAGCAATCCTTACGATGATTAATATTGTTTGTAGTATGGCGAGTCTGCTGTCAAAGTTCCGGATAGACTATTCCGCCTTAAAAGTTATACCAGATGTCTCGAAACCGGCACAAGTCGGTACGAAGACATTCTTTGACTCGTTAATAGCTGATTTTCAGGAATCAGCCGATTCGAAAGATTCCGACGACGGTATGAATAATTTCTTTATGAGTTTATTCTAAGAATAGGCTAAAATAAAGTAAAACTAATAAGCTGTTAGGCTCTTTTCAGTGTATGTAAAAATTTAAACGCTGTCAAATCCAGTGAAAGCGAACTCGCTACCTTCTGGGGTAAATTCTCTAAATTCGAAATTCCAAACATTCTCGTTTGCAAGTAGTAGTACTAGCACATTTTATTGATTCCCCTTAGGGTTACAAGGCGTTTTTGAAGGAACGTGCCCAAACCTCTTATAACACCTCTCTCTATATCCACTTCGCTATGTGGCGATCGAACGAAAAACCAACAACGTTTTTGTTTTACCAGACCAGCGCACAATCCTCTGCGCCACGATCGCCACACTTTTCATGGCAGTGTATGTAATAATTTCATCTTTTCACTTTAGATGTTATTAAAGATTCGGAACTTATGGCGATGAAAGAGAAAACCAATAGACATCTCCGCTTGCGCGAATTATTACTTGAAAATTCCATGGAAGCTAACTTAGTCGTTATGTAAGTATTATGAATTTTATTGCATATACTGTTTTATATGAACAATTATTAACTTTATTATATATTTTCAATTTTGATTGCTTTATAGGACACTACCGATGCCTCGGAAAGGTGCTGTATCAGCGCCGCTTTACATGGCATGGCTGGAAACACTCACACGTGACATGCCACCGTTTTTACTGGTTCGAGGCAACCATACGTCGGTTTTAACGTTTTACTCATAACATTAATGTGAAACTGACGAGATGTTTTATACATAAGGACATAAAACGTCCCTGCAGACGACAATAGCGATATCGCAGTATTACAAGCGAAAAGAAAGACTTAATCATTTATGTATGCAAAAAAAATTGATTCGACCATGGCAGAACATCCAGTGATATACATTGAATAGTAACAAGCTAGTGACAAGTATATGCCTTTATCATCATGTGTGGGAAAATGCGTTTGTGAGTGAAACCTAATAATTATTGAAGATGTGCCTATAATAAGCAATCTCTTGAAAATTTCAGTCATGTAATGACACTGTATTATTTTTTTAATGATTGAAATATTTCTCGATTCCGAAAAATCTCGACGGCCTCTCTTTAAGTGTAAAAAGATCAACCGTATTTTATATATTATATATGTATTTAAAGTAAAGTGACAATCATAATTTGTAGCATTATTTCATCGTTTGTCATGCAATATTTTTGTGCCTTATCTAAAATAACGCTGTTTTATATACAGAAGTATTTAAAAAAATTCTAAAATATTGGTATTGGTGATTTAGAAAATTAACATAAATATTTAAGAAGGCTATCTTTTTATAAAAACTTTTATATTTCTGTATATATGTAAACTTATAAATTTTTGACAATCTTTGAACATAGAACACAATTATAATAAATTCTGCGAATACTGCACAATTGCATTAAAAGTATGGCTTATTTTCATATGTGTGTTTTATAATCTCGATAACTTAAAATACTTACGAAAGCACGAAGTTTCATCATGAAAGATATAAAGAATAAATGCCAATATTTTTTAAATAAAGCAAACGCATACAAAAGTTGTAAAAGCATTATAGACGCATGCTAGATTAACTAAATGTTATTGTAGTACAAATGTTTAACTGTCATAGCGACACTTAAAGTGTCAAAGAGAATATATTGCAATTCTATTTCATATTCTTTTACCACCGCGATACTATCGGGGGTATCGCCATCTAAGAATGTTTCAAGTTGCACAATGTCTCATATACATACATACATATATATATATATATATATATGTACTAAGTTTTATACAGAAATTTTATACTGATTTCTGTTTAAACTTTTAATTACGTAACTTCGATATAACATAACAACTATCAGTGCTTTTACATTATTGATAACTTTGCGATATATTATTAGGTGATAGAGAGATATTTATTTGAATGCTTCGATGTGAACACGTTTCAGACTAGTTGCGAATACATTGCAGGAGTCAGAATACTGATAGTACACGACCATGTTCTTCCTAATTGCATAAGCCTTGCAAATTGCAAAATCATCTATCGTTGCGTGTGTACGTAGTATGACGTTGGTGCATCCTTAATTATAATTTGAATTATAAATTAATTTTGATTCAATTCCATATCGTAATAAAAATCAATATTCCAACCCCTCTATATGTATATAGTGTGTATATATATATATTTATATAAAATTGAATTTGTGCCATGTTGTGTTACGTGCCATGTTTGCAAAGATCAATCCTTTCGAGAACTATGAGATGAAAATGTAGTCTTATTCTATAATATATTTTTTGGGATATTGTAGGAAAAAAATGCGTAAAGTAAGGAATAAATAAAATGAAAATGCACGTAGATACTTAGTCTTGCTAAATAAAAAATCTGTAGCTGCAGCTGGAAAAAAAAGTCACAAGTGTAAGAAACGAAAAGCTTAAACAAATGACAAGATCTATTCTTTCAAGAGATTATCTTGCAAAAAGCATAAACATAAATAACTAATATAAAATTTGAATATATTACTTTTCTACTCTAAATATATAAAAATGATATACGTGCGTATGTATGTATATATATGTATATATTAATCTCTTCAAATACTTAATCTTTCTCTTGCAAGATATAAAATGATACTAACATTTTTAATTAATTAAAAAAATATTTATCAAAATGTCAGGATGACGAATCGTCATTGTCATGCATCGTATTCCTCTGCAGATACAATTCGAGAGAAGAAAACTCGGATTTATGTTTCGTGTTCGCGGACAGCACTGGCGGTATAGATTGCGATTACATCGCAGGATAGATCTTATTCTCTTTTCATGTTTAAATGCTACGAATGTGCCGCGGTCTGCGCACCAACAAGCAACAGGAGGACAAACCGGAGCTAACTTTCGCCAGTTCGGACAAACGTAATGATCTAGTCGGGAACTCCACCTTCTCGGCGAACACTTTACTCGATTGTGGAATCTCATCCTCCGACCGATGAATAAGCGTGCCGTTCACATAGAGCACATTGGCGGCTACGTCTTCGGGCACGGTCAATGTTTGATAACTGTACGTTGCCTCTCGCTCGATTCTCTATGTCATAAATGAGAGAAATAAAAATCGAAACTTTTTGTAATTATATATAAAATTTTATACATATACAGGGTGATTCAAAATA